CTCACCGTCTGCCCCTCCCCCGCAGCGCTCGTGGTGGGGACACCTCCGGACCACCTCGGCCACGTGCTCGGATTTTTTGTAGACGGCCACGGCCCGGACCAGGGCCCCGGGGGGCGGCGGGACCCCCACCCGCACCTGCACCGGGCACGGCTTGGCCAGGCGGCAATAGAGCTTGTTCAGCACTGGAGAGTACTGGGAGGGACTGGGAGTCACTGGGAGGGCTCGGGGAGCCGCCCCAGAAACAAAAAAACCCCGATAAAATAGAGTAAAATATGAAAAAACCCCGTTAAAATATCACAAAATGTGAAAAAACCCCATTAAAATACCATAAAATCCCGGAAATCCTTGTTAAAATATACCCAAAAATAAAAAAAATTCCATAAAATTCTACCCAGGAATAAAAAAACCCGTTAAAATCTAGCTAAAAACAACAAAAAAAAAACCATTAAAATACCGTAAAATCCCCAAAAATCCCATTAAAATCCACCCAGCACAGCTTGTTCAGCACTGGAGAGAACTGGGAGGGACTGGGAGTCGCTGGGAGGGCTCGGGGAGCCGCCCCAGAGACAAAAAAAACCGGTAAAATAGAGTAAAATATGAAAAAAAACCATTAAAATATCACAAAATATGAAAAAAATTCGTTTAAATACCATAAAATCCAAAAAAACCGCGTTAGAATACACCCAAGAACAAAAGAATCCCATTAAAATCCACCCAAGAATAAAAAAAACCCATTAAAATCCAGCTAAAAACAAACAAAAAAACCGATTAAAATCCAGCTAAAAACAAAAAAACCCCCATTAAAATACAGTAAAATCACATTAAAATCTCATTAAACCCCACCCAGCACAGCTTGTCCAGGACTGGAGAGAACTGGAAGGGACTGGGAGTCACTGGGAGGGCTCGGGGAGCCGCCCCAGAGACAAAAAAAACCGGTAAAATAGAGTAAAATATGAAAAAACCCATTAAAATATCACAAAATATGGAAAAACCCCGTTAAAATACCATAAAATCCCGGAAAACCGTGTTAAAATATACCCAAAAATAAAAAAATCCCATAAAATTCTACCCAGAAATAAAAAAACCCGTTAAAATCTAGCTAAAAACAACCAAAAAAACCCCATTAAAATACCATAAAATCCCCAAAAATCCCATTAAAATCCACCCAGCACAGCTTGTTCAGGACTGGAGAGAACTGGGAGGGACTGGGAGTCACTGGGAGGGCTCGGGGAGCCGCCCCAGAGACAAAAAAAACCGGTAAAATAGAGTAAAATATGAAAAAAACCATTAAAATATCACAAAATGTGAAAAAAACCCGTTAAAATACCATAAAATCCCGGAAAATCGTGTTAAAATATACCCAAAAACAAAAAAAATCCCATAAAATTCTACCCAGGAATAAAAAAACCCGTTAAAATCTAGCTAAAAACAACAAAAAAAAAACCATTAAAATACCATAAAATCCCCAAAAATCCCATTAAAATCCACCCAGCACAGCTTGTTCAGCACTGGAGAGAACTGGGAGGGACTGGGAGTCACTGGGAGGGCTCGGGGAGCCGCCCCAGGGACAAAAAAACCCCGAAAAAATAAACCCAGGAATAAAAAAAACCCCGTTAAAATAGCATAAAATCCCAAAAAAACCCGTTAAAATACACCCAAGAACAAAAAAAAACCCATTAAAATATCA